TTAATATAGGAGTATGCCACACAGAATCATTGCTTTGTACGACGCTATGTCACTAACTGGAGAGCAGTGCGAGGCTTCTGGGACCGCAATATCGACCCTAAGTAGCACAGGCTCCTGGGTGTATCTAAATAAAACTGGTAATTCCACTTCGAAGAAATGCCCAAGCAGTAGGATCCTCACTGTAAGGGCCCGTAAACGGTACCCCCTTATTCTAAGACAGGCTCCAATTCTCAAACAGCACGCCGCGACCCTTGGCCTGGAGAATCTGCTCGAGGCGCACCGTAGGAAGCGGCCGCTTTGAGGCAGCCTGGAACGCTCTGGAGGGGGCTTGAGCTCTATAGAACTAGCTGCCGCGTGCTCTTTTACCAACTGCAGGTTTGTAGCTAGAAACGTCTTGCCGGAGGAGGTCTTGGGAAGGGCTTCACGGAGCCACAGCAAAAACAAACACAATTAGCAAACCCCGTCCCTCAGAGAACTAACCGTTAGCCCCCCGAGGCCCTTACCACCGCTTCCAATGCATGCTACGGCTCACTAGTGTGGGTCAGCGACAGCACGCATGACGCTAGACTAGATGACACATCAGAATCTGCACGCCGTGGACTCCGTGGACTATTGACAACAGCTGTTCAAACAAGGGTCTCAGGTTTGCGGCAGGGTTTTTTAAGGTACGGTTTTTCGCGAATAGCCGTTATACTGGGACCCTTGCAGAGAGGCTCTTCCATGTTTTGCTCTTCCGTCTTGGCTCGCGTCTCCACCCACCACTATCAACAATGCCTCGAGTTGCACACGGTTCACAGCCACAGGGCCTGAGTGATCTTCAAGGCGCTGTCTGGGCTTACGTGCCGTTGTGGCAGCGACTTCTTGAAACTTGTTGAAGGTGGTCTGGAGGCGCTGCGGACGTCTGCATGAGGTTCGTGTGGCCTGGGACACAGTCGCCCCGCAACTCCTGATCTGAGTCTTCGAAAGCCGCGCCCTCTCAGTGGCAGAGCTTACACAGCCTCCGTCGCCGCATCTTTGCTGGCCGCTGCTTTCGCGGCGGCAGCTTCACAGCATTTGGCATGCTCCTCCTCCGCAGTCTTTAATACGCCTGCTAAAACGGCAGAGTCTGCTTCCACGTACGGCCGCAGGCACGCCACCGAAAGGCTCTCCTCTCTCCACTCTGCCCCCAGAAAACGCACCTTCCATGTCCGGGTCTCTGGCCACTCCTGCAGAAGCTGCACGGGCCAGGGCAGGCGGCTGCCGCCGAAACTCCAGCACACCTGTCCCGCTCGGAGGCCCTGTGAAGCAGCCTTCGCTTCCGAAGTGTTCAATCCGATGCCCGCTGGAACCTCAAGTGTTCCGGGAGTGGGCTTGGCGGAGCTGGGAGTGGGGCCAGCGATTCCTGGCCGCAGAAGGTGGCTGAGTTCAAGCGACTCGAGATCAAAGTCCGACACAAAGACCTCGTCTTCCACTGGCGGCTTGTTGGGCTGTAGGCTGCAGACTGGCAGGACGTCGCTTTCCTTCCCGTCTTCAAACCTGACTTTGGCAAACTGGTGCTCCGGCCGCCCGTCCCAAGTCACAACGCCAGGGCGTCCGTTCACGCTCACCACGTCGTTAACCGCAAAGTTAATGGAGCCAGGTGCAGTGTCCAAATGACGAACCAGGAAGGGCCGCTCTTCTTGAGCGCAAATGGCAATGATCCTTGCCGGGCGCGCCGGGTGCATGGAGTAATCCCACACCAGCTGGCCTCACTGCTTTGGAGGTACCGAAAATCATCATCCGCTGCAACTGTTCGCGCATAAAATCTGCATCTACTACTTGGAATCCTGGTTGTTTTACATAATTAGTGAACATGGTTGTGTGGAGTTGACATGTCGATAATAAGCGGTGATAGATATCATATGTTACTTATGTCAGGGTCTTCCTAGCTAACTATCATAATTAAGTAAACCTTTTGCAAAAGTTAGGATGAGTTAAATGGAACTACCCATGTCAAAACAGCTATTGCAAGAAATTGTAGTTCATAAATTGTGACATTGGTTTTCAGTGACAGACATTGCTTCATGTGACATATAACTCATAGGCCACATAGACATGCTACTGGAGGAATCACATACTGTAGGTTTTTGGATCCAGTTTTAAGGGAAGCATATCATACGTTTTGAAGAATGCAGCAGACACAAAGGGAGAGAGCGAGAGAGTGAGATGCTTTTGATTCTTGGAGGAAAGCATTCAAATTCATCCTATCAATGTTGTATATTTGCTGTCGCCTTACATGTCAGGACGAGAGCCTAGTGGCCATCCCGCCGTGACCATGTCATCGTTTTGCAACCGTACTTAAATCAGCCATCGGGCACTGCCACGAACAAGCTTCCCCGTAGCCCCAAGAATGGTGGAAATTCGCCACGCCGTGCAAAGCCGCTGCGAGGACCGGACGAGAGCCCAATCTTCCTTCCCGAGGAGTTTCTTCGCCAAGCCAGCGAAAAGTCGTACGTCCAACTGTGGCCACGTGTTCATGCATGCAAGCGACCCAGAGCCACGGACCTGGCTGTCGAGCTGGATGTCATCCAGGTGCAGGCCATCATCCGAGGCAATTCGTGAGAAAGACCTGGACCACTTGCTTTGCCAAGCTTGGAAACAGTAGCCAGTTTGAGGCCATGAGCACAGAAAAGGCCAGTTTTGATACTGTGCAGGTCAGGAGCGAACTGAAAGTTGGCTTGCAGAGTCGTTGACCACAGATGACGACGTGGCCCAATCTTTACAACCGACTGGACGAGCGACAGAGAACCTGTTCTAAGGCGGCCTTCGCCAAGTGGCGGCAAGTTTCGGGCCTCACTTGGAATCCCCATGCTCTGATGCTCCACCGAGGTCTTCTAGTCCGGACGTTGAGAACCTTTCAATGTTGCACACATGCTTGAAAATGTGCAGTGTGAAGAACTCCATATATGGAGTCGTTCGCTTGGGTGGGCCTCCCCTGTGGAAAATACCACCTGCGTAAGCAAGCGTGTGAGATGCCAGGTCAAGCCAGTCAGCCAATTTTGCCATGATTGGATGCGTGGAATTCGCCGGGCACGCCCCAGTGGTACTTTGCTTGGAGCTTGGCCAGCTTGTTTGGCACCAAATACGTCGTCAAGCACTAGAGCAGCCTGAAATTCGGCAGTCAAACCTCCGACTTGCTGGGCGTTTTTCCGGTCCTTCGCCGCTATCTGCTTGCCATCGTGGTGCCAAGCAGAACACAATCAGAGGCACGCAAACTTTCCTGGTTCAAGCCAAGCTTGTAGAGGCTGCAGAGACCGCCATGGAGTGCTTCCAACAGGCCCAATGCGTCATCCCACTCAGATCATGGCAGGTTTCCTCCAAAAACATGGAACGCGCCATCCACACTCACCACAGAGCGGAAACTCAAGGACGTTGGGAGATTGGCAAGGTTGGTTTCATCTGGAACCAGGCCCTTTGGTTCTACGCTGGAGTCTAAGGGAGGTCCACAAGATTGCCCACTATATACCCCATGCTCCATCACCAACAAGCAAGGCTTCGTTCACATCATCCAACACCCACTGCTGCTTCGCAAGGCCACAACGCAAGCGGCCACTGTGCTGCACCCATACCAGCTATGCAGCGCACCGTGACAAGAAATGTTTCTGCCCAGCTGCATGGCCATTCCACGTGCACGTTGTACTAGATATCTCGATGCCAGCCAAGGATCTAAGGACATGACATGTCCCACGGCACATGGCTTTAATAACCACTATGCCTGACCAGGCCATTCGCGCCTAATTTTGCGGTTTAGTTTCTGGAAAATAAATAAAAAATAAAAAAATAAAAATTTACATATAACTATAAATATAAATATGTATATATATATATACATATGTATGTATGCATACTAGTACTGCTCTGTAGTATGCCTTTTGCCGTAGACGTTTGCCGGCTGTTGAACAGATGGCCAGATAGTAGTTCTTGTTGATACAACCCTAAACCCTATATAGCCTATATGTGAACCTTTGAAGATAATATATAACCTGTACACACAGGAAACAAGCTTGTACAGTCCATCTCCAACTCAAGCTAATTCCTCCTATTTTTTAGCTAACTAACATAAGTGTGCTATCAAGTATAGATATAAAACAACCGGGATTCCTAGTACTTGATCGTACTGATAGTACAGTAGTCTTCCGATGCACTACGGCACATGGCTCCTGCAGGCACCAAACAACACAAGAAAAACAAAGAGCTGAGATCCTGGCCGAGGCAAAGCTTTTTGCTGAGGGCTCTTCTTCTGAGGCGCCTGGCATCCTCCTCTGAGGGACCCGATCTCTTGGACGCAGCTGCTTGCCGGCTTGGCTCTTTTCCTTTGAGGTTCTCCGGCGCTGCGACCTCTTTCAGCATCGAGCTGTCGGACAGGCACTTTTCCAGTTGCGGGAGTTTGTCCTCCGGGCATCTTCTGCGCAGCTCGGCCTCAGGGTAGACCGCCCCTAGCCGAAGGCTCAGGCTAAGGTGCAGGTGGCTCTCGACTTGGAAGAACCTCTCCGTGGACTCTGTTTTGGGAGCTACCTCAGTGCATGTCTCATCTGGCGGCGTCGCCACATTAGCGACGTCTTTCCATCTGCGTAGGCGCCCCATTCGCCGGGAAGGCTTCCTAAACTCCCTAGAAGTCCTTTTGCAGCGGGTTTCCAGTTATCTTTCCTGGGAGTATGGAGTTGAGTCTCGGCACTCGAGTAGAAGGCCTGAGCTCGGCCGCTGCTCTAAGCAGTGTTTCCGAGAAGGCAGGAGCAGACATTAGCATAGTCTTCCTGTTGATATGTCATGGTGCAGCACACAAAAGAGTGCCACTGCTGACTTCGTTGATGCGGAGGAAAGCTTTCTGGATATCAAGAACCATTGCACTGCGGCTGATTGAACTGAATGCAGCAGGTGACTTGGAGTGTTTTTGAAAGTCCTGCTTGGCCAGCAGTGGAAAGCAGCTGAGCATGCGTCCAATGCAGGCTAAGCATGTGAACTGCTGTCTGAAAACCAAGGTACTCTTGCAGCATGTCGGCTCAGGGCTAAAGGTTGCAACTTTCCAGCCATTTCACGTTTGGGTGCTCGAAATGCAAGCTGGCTCTCACCTGACCGAAATTCCTCAAACCTGTCGCTTCGACCCAAATTTGGAAGCTGTTGTTGGCTGCAAGATATTGCAAGATGCTCCCACGCGGTTCTGGATGCTACAGTAAGGCTTCTAAGCAAAGCGTTTCGACGAGAGCAGGGCTGAGCAGGGAGCAGGGCAAAAGAAAGCCCACAGAAGGCAAAGCGAGCAAGTCGTCACAACTCAGTTGCAGTCTCGGAGGGAGGCATGCGGCATGTCACGCATCCTATGAGCGAAGGCCTTCTTGGTCTTCGCCTTCGGGTTCGACTTGCGGCCGCTTGCTGCCGCCTGTTCGAGGCGTGCCGGGATCGGGTAAGGATCTGAGGGAGCCACTTGGGAGCAACGGCAATCCTTCCAGCTCGGATGCCGTCGGTTCTGCGAACAAGAACCTAAAGAAATTCGCAACTCGAAGTCCCAGTCAGAACTTGTGACAGCCTCCTGCGCCTCGCGTGCCTCCAGGACCATGGCGACCTTATTACTCAGAGACTGGAATCTGCACAATCCGACCGAGGATGACTGGAGCCCCAACCGGAGAGAGTCCAGCCCGAATCTCCATGAAGCTCTCTCGCTTCTCGGATGTGTGGCTGGCGTCCTGGGATCCCGTGCGCTGTCAAGAAGCTGGGACGGAGGAAGGACCTACGGACCTACATGCTGGCAGAAACACGCAAGGAAGGGCGACGGTCTTTCGACTCGCACACACTTATATGGAGGTTGCAGACATTGCCTCTTCGGAGCCCTAGACCCTACAAACCACAAACACCAGAATCATGGAGCCGTTGTAACTTCCATGCCTCTATTGGCCACAAAGTCAGAGTACTCCTGCAAGACAACTCCGAAAGATGCTGTCCTGACTGCACTGTACAATCGTGGAAGATTCCCCCTCGAAGAGAGTCGGGACGAAGTCCCCGCCACTTCCTGATGGCTTTGCATTAGCTTCGCAAGCTTGAAGCCGCTGGAAGTCACAGGCAAGCGGTCTCAAAGGACACAGCGGATTCTCAAGTCCCATTCGACTGTTCCGGCCCACCACCTTGCCTTCTCAACAGTACTGAGACTTCAGAACATGGCATGGCTCTTGCTCTCCAACGCTCTACGTCGCCCTAAGAGCGTTGGAACTTCCTTTTTTGTTGAGCCACCGTCAGCGAGCTCTCGCTGCAGCCAGTCGAGCAGCAGCGCGCTAAATTCTGTGGCGTCCGCCTGCTTGTCATGTTGACCGGACAAATTAACTCAGCAGCACCTAGCGGTTGAGGTATCCATGGCGCTCTTCCGTAAATTGATGTCTTAGCTTGCAGCATTGAAGCCTGTGCTTGGGACATAGCACCCATTAGCACTCTCGGAAGCAGTCCCCTGCCTGCTCCAAGGCATCCACACGTGCAGCTGTGACGAAATCCTGACAGGTATTTGGTCTTGATCCCGGGCGCCTGTAGCCCAGCCTAAGGCTTTAAACTTTCTGGTTTTGGAGAACTTGGTTGAAGTCATGCTCTTGGGTTCTAGAGAATATACGCTTTAGTAGCTGCGTTGAGCTCACAGTCAAGCTCTGCAGAAGGCCCAACTTGGCAAACTCTCCATGCCGACCAAAGCTTCGATGAGCACACGAAACCCTAAACCCCATAATCCCTTTCTCGGCAGGAACAGATGCAGGTTCCTTGGGGTCCACGACCCGCGACTCGCCTTCCGCCAGCAAGGCGAAGACCTCAGTTCCGGACAACACGATGAACGATGCTTCTGGTGATAGTTGAAGCTGATCGTCGCTTCTTAAAGTCGCGACTAAAGGCGGCCGCATTACTGAATGAGACGTGTGGAACCAACATAAAGAATCGCAACCCCCTGAAGTCTGAGTCAAGAGAACCAGCACTGCTGCTGCAGCGCGGGGCACTCGCTGCAATGCAGCAACTACTTGGCTTTTGCAGGTCGTCCTGCGATCGGCCGACAACTTCCAAGGTTGGGTCGCGACTTGGAATTGAGCTTTGGGTGTTGAGGCCTTGCTCAAGCTGACAAGTCTGACAAGGGTTAACGCCGTGCTGTCGGAAAGCCCTCGTAAGGTTGGATGTGGTACCCTCTCGCCTCAACAAGCAGTATCGGAAGTCCAGGTTGAAGAACCTCGGCTTCAGTGGCGGCGATGCTTCCGTCAGGGTCCAGGCTTTGGTGTTGGTTGCTCGCTGGCACCGGGGCATCGGAATGTCTGGTTCAACGATTGCTTGATCGAAGTAGTGTTTGATGTACTGGTGCGGACATGCTGCAAATCTTAAACGGAAAGCGAGGAAGTGCAGAGACTGAGGAAGGTTTCGCATTTTGCTGAATTTGGTGTCCTGGCAACCGCCACTCCCTCTCGCATGCCTCACTTCAAGGGCCCTTACCCGAGTCTGATGCTCCAAACCTGTCAATCCGAATCCCAGAGC